CCACACTGCCCCCCCCACACTCCCCCCACCCCCCCCCACTGCCCCCCCACACTGTCCCCCCACACTGCCCCCCACACACTGCCCCCCCCACTGCCCCCCCCACACTGCCCCCCCACACTGCCCCCCCCCACACTGCCCCCCCCCCCACACTGCCCCCCCCCACACAGCCCCCCCCACACGCCCCCCTCACACTCCCCCCACACTGCCCCCCCACACTGCCCCCCCCACACTGCCCCCCCCACACTCCCCCCCACACGCCCCCCACCCCCACTGCCCCCACCCCCAATCCCCACATCCCCCAGAGGATCGAATTTCAAGATCCTCATCCCACCTACAAGGCCATTCACGGCTTGCTCCCTCCTACCTCTACACTGGAGAAACCTTACCTTTAACTTGGCTGAATAAGAATTTAGATGTTTTCCCAAAGGACACTTCCCTCCCCATCTTCTGATGACCAACTCCTCCCTCAACCTCACCCTTCATGAACTCCCCCACCCAGATCCATGGCCACAGGCTCTGTGATCATCATTGTCTTTCTATGGGCGCTTTGAAGGTTGTTCACTTGTTATTACTGTTTAACTTTGTTGTCCGAGGACCAACAAGATGTCAGTGAGATGATCGTGCTACCAAGGCTCTGCCCATTTAACTTTGATCGCCCTCAACCTGGTCTCAAGATCCTCCTCTTCGACCGCGCCTTCGGTCACCCTCCTATCCCTACCCTCCTCGCCCTCCACCCTTCCTGATCCCAACCACCTTTGACTGACCAGGGCCTTGGGACGTCCTCCTGACGTGAAAGGCGCTGTGTAAATGGAATTTGTTTGTTTGGTCAACACCCAAAGCTTCTCCATCTCCCTCTCTGACAACATTGTCTCTGACCGTACCTTAGCTTCTCCCCAAGTCCAGTGCAATCACTTCCCTCCTCCCCACCTTACAGTTGTCCCACCTGGTCAGCAGAGGAGGGAAGATACATCAAACCAAACCAGCCAACACTGTTGTGTTTCATCTCCTTCTACAAACATGCTTCAATGGGTTGGTTGGGATTCATTTTTCTCCTTTCAATTCTTTGGGGTGCTCTGCGGTTAAACTTTTGTAACTTTTGAACCTTTGTCATTTTTATTCTAAATCGTGCAAGTTTTGCAGAGAGCACGACAATAACTCTCAGATTCAAAGCATCTCTTGGAAGCATTCCAGCGTGGATCATTTCAGCACAGGGCTGTCTATGAGTCAGCAAGATAAGGGAATATACAGAATACATTCAGCTGCTGTTTGTTTTACTGGTGTCTGCTGCTCCACTAGCTGCTTTCAGTTCAACAGCCTCTGTGAAAAGATTACTCTGACTGAATTAATTTATTTGACACAGTTTTATTAATTAATTAATTAATTAATTAAAGAAATTACACAGTTCGTGGCCATACCAGTCCTGGGTGCTACATCATTTATTTCCACCTAACAAGCTGTGTTAAACCCAATGAGAAGCCAAATTGCTTCACAAATGTAAGGTACATTTACCATGTATTACACTGCAATGGGCTAACTTAAAAGCTAACATTCAACACAGAATAAAGGAAAGCAGTAAAAGAGAGACAAAGAGGAGACAGAGTTAGAAAGGGATGAGAGAGAAAGAATGAAAGGAATCACAGGGAATGAGAAACTGAGAGACAAAGCGATGGGGGAATTGGAAGACACAAAAGGAACTCTTAAAATTGGGATCTTGGGAGCAAAAAAGATGAGCAGAATAGCAGGGGATACAAGAGAATGGAATATGTGGATAAAAAAAAGTTTAACCAATTGTTGAATGTTAATAGGCTGTAGTCTGTCTCCATTTGTTGGTGAGTTTGAAATGAGAGATGTAAATACCATGGTATCTGATTGAAAAGGGAGTTTAGGAGGAAGGACTTTATGCCGAGGGTGGTGAGAATGTGCAACTATAGTTGGAATCTGTGGTTGAAGCAAAAAGGATCAACATATGAAAGAGGAACATCAATGTGTACATGAGGGGTTTAGAGGCAGAGGCTCATGTGGAGGATAAAGACTTGCACAGATGACTGCAGTTGGGCTGAATGGCAAGGCATTCCGCGCCTTAATATTCTATGTAATGGTGGCTTAAATCTAGATTGGCAATGATTAACACATCTTAAATGGCAATGAGATAATTAGCTTCAAGAAAGCAGAGATTACAGTGCTCTGGAGGATGGAATGGGAAGTGAACCAAGTAAACAAAATGGGAAAAGACACCTTTTAAATAGGGAAACACATGGGGAAAATTACACGGCATAAAGAAGCAAGAACGTGAGCTGGTAGAAATGGGGTTGGGTGTGAAGGCACAGGATTGAAAACAGCAAGTAATTAAATAGAAGGAAAGTTAAAGAGAGGAAAGATAGAAACAAAAGGATAGAGAATGAGGTGATCGAGACTGGGAGGGCAGATTTTGTGATCAATGGTACGTTCTAAGGCTTCCAGGTGATGATATCGATGGCGATCTTGACCGCCTTTCTGACAGCCTCGCTGGGGTCCTCGCTCCTGTCCTCGATCCAATCCACATGATCCAGCAGCACTTTCCTCCCCTCAGGTGCTTCAGACACCGTGGTGATGGTTTTGATGGCGTTCAGCCTCACCTCGCTGCTTTCATCGTTCACCAGGACAAGCAGAGGTTTGATGACGTCAGCTTCCAGAGCTGCGTATTTACCTGTAAAAATACAACACAATCCCCGTCTCACACACACAAACGTACACATAACAATAATAATCCATAGTTTGGTACAGCCCAATTATTATTTCACATTGAGAGGACAGCCAAAGCACTTCACGGGATTTGCAGGTGAAGGTGGAAACCCCATTGTGCACAGTAATGTTTCATGAAACAAATGACCAATTTTTATTTGGAGGATTGTTCGCCAGGACTTCAGGAGAATCTCTCTTCGAATAGCGCCATGGGATCTTTAACATCTGCCTGAACAGGCAGATGGCACCTCGGTTTAATGCCTCATCTGAAGAACGGCACCTCTGACAATACAGCTCCCACCTCCCCCCGCCAACACCCCAGCATTGCATTGGAGTGTCATCTTAGACTATGTGATTCCAAGTTCTGAATTGGGGCTTGAACCCACAGTCTTCTGACTCAGTGAGAGCACTGCTACTGAACCAGGCTGACACACAAACACAACACTAACATGATCCCTGTCACACAGCACGCTTAATTGGACTTGAGATACAGATCAGCCATGATCTAATAGAATGACGGAACAGGCTCGAGGGGCTGAATGGCCTCCTCCTGTTCCTATGTTCTCAGTTGGTAAGTGGGATTCTACTCAAGATCCCAGGTACCACCAGCAAAAATTTGACGTCTGCCTTGCAGTGGTGCTGTCTGGCAACTCTGCTGTACACCTAATTCCTCCAGTCATACCACCACCATTTTTAACAAGTCAATGGTTTAACTGTTTGACACTTGCTGTAACTTCTGCCGAGATTGAAGAGCAGGTAAAACATAATAATAATTTAGTCACTTAATCCATAACTGTTTGTGGGACGCCGCTGTGTGCAATTGGCGGCCACAATTTGCCCACAAATATACAGTCAATTCACTTTACAGTATATTCTGTGAAGCTCTTCTAGACGTCTAGAGGATGTGATAAGGCGCTGTATCAAATGCGAGGATTATTATTATTATTAATTATTAGGTAGTAGTATTAGTATCATTATCTTGTCTCCACCAGGAGAGTGTGGAACTCTGCAATGATAGGCTGGTAAAGTCAGGCTGCAGCAACTCTACGCGATGCTCCTCCACTCACTTTTCATCGAACATCCCACCGAACCCATGATCTAGGAAAGCCTAAAAAAGGATTTCCGAGCACATCTGTGCAATTACACTGTGATAAGGCTGAATTCAAATTGAAAGGAAACACTTTTCTCTGTCAGTTTGAATGCGGCCCATACCACAGAGCAATTGCAAAGTCGATTTTGTTGATTAAACACTTTAAATAATCACTTGCAATGAGGCAAAACACACTTCTGTCTTGGCACTGAGCTGTGGTAGGTTAACATCAATGTGACGGTAAGCAAAATGCCTGAGTTATGGCGGGTGAACACAGTGAGAGCTGTCAGCAGGACTGTGCCACATGACAAGTCACAGCAAACCCTGGAAGTCTGAGTATTACAATCATTCACATTAATGGTGGTATCCAGCACCAAAGACAGCTTGATTTCACACTCGATAGTCAGATTTATTCTGGTTCTTTTAGCATTGAGCCCCACCATTAATCATCTCTCACCATACATCTGTGTGCCGTGCATCTCTGTTCACATTTATCTCCGGCTGGAATGAGATACTCAAGAAAGAAGCATTAGCTATTTGATGTAGTTTAATCCAGATTCTTTTATTTATTCTCCTTTCTCTCTTGAAGATTCTCATTGCTGCTGTCGTAGAATACCGCAACCACACAGGCACAGCCCAAACCACATTCTGAAATTCCATTCCATGATTATATCACCTGTAAATGGTGCGAAGTTGTGTGCTATTCCTCTTTCTGGCAGTGTCAACACAATACATTATAGCTTCACCAAAGCCAAGCTGTTTTCAGAACAAGGCTCTGGGGACTGCTTTCACAAGCACAATGAGGTGCTAAATGCAGTCTGGACATTTGCTGGTACATATAAACACTGATTTACACAGGGAAATTACACTGTAAAGATGTCAGAGAGCGGAGTATGAGATGGCTGGAGGAGGATAGGAGAAAGGTGTGGCCTAGGGAGCATCTTAAGGGTGAGGAAGGCATTCGAAGAGCTGAAAACAGCCAAGGTAAGATTCACTGATTATGATGCTCTACACTGCATCTATTTCAAATGCATCCACATCATTTGCTTCCCTCCAAGAAACACAGAGACTTAAGACTGTGCACTGCTTCTTTTCAGGGGAAGATAATAATAATAATAATCGTTGCATTTGATACAGCGCCTTATCACATCTTTGAGATGTCTCAAAGCGCTTCAAAGAATATACCGTAAAGTGAATTGACTGTATATTTTGTGGGCGAAACGCGGCAGCCAATTGCGCACAGCAGCGTCCCACAAACAGTCGCGGACAAACACCAGGAGGCAGTGCTCGGGCCAAAGCTCCTGTTAAGTTAATGGTGGTGGAGGACATTGCATCTCCTCCCTCCACCACAATTCCATCCCAACAAGCTATCTCTGAGATTTCCAAGTGTAGGTGCGATGTATGGAAATCTCAGCTTGGTTTGGATAGTCTTAAGCATGGTGATGGGTTTCTGCATGTGTCAGACACCCGGCCGACCAAAACACAAAGACCAACTCTCACAACACAAACACCGAGAAAACGATCTCATCTCATTTCCACTCTTGGAACTTTTCCATTTCCTTATCTTACTCAGTGCTTGATGCAGTCACTGGAACTGAAATGGGAATAAGTGTTTGCTCTCACAGTACAATCTTGAGGAGTATTAATCTCCACATTAATTTGCTTTCACTTGGGATGTCCTCCCGACATAAAAGGCACTTTACAAATGTAATTTTATAATTCTCACAATTGATCCTTGCCTCATCACTTTATCACCAATTTTGTTGTTTGTTGTATTAAATTTCACACAACTACAACATGCATTTATATAGCATCCTCACGCAGCGAAATGTCCCAGAGTCCCAGTGGCAGTTGACTGTACACACGGTCTTCAGACACGACCTGAAGATGAGGAAGGAAAGGGCAAGGCGGAGGGAAAGAGGAAGAGTTTTCCAGAGTTTAGTAGAAAGAGGAAAGTTTTTTTTAAAATAAAAGCCCCGTGGTTGAGAACTTCCATTGTTGGCATTGTGTGGGATGGTTTACCCTGTGTGGTGATAGCAGCAAACATCAGGGCTCCTGCCGCTTTAGCCCTGACCTCTGTCTCCCGGTCCTTCAGAAGCTTCACCAGCAACGGGATCACCTTCTCTTCACACACTTTGTTTTTTCCTTCCAAGGGGACACTACAGGGAAAACAAATTAGCATGTTGTGCGTATGTTTTACAATTGCACCATTTGCATCATAACTTGGTCGAAAGGCTGGTGGAAACAAATTAAATAACAACTTTCAAAAGGGAATTAAATAGGTACTTGAAGAGGAAACATTTGCAAGGATATGGGGAAAGAGCGGGGGAGTGGGGCTGATTGGGTGGCTCTTCCAAAGAGCCGCACAGGCACAATGGGCCGAATGGCCTCCTTCTGTGCTGGAGTGAGGTAGAGAGTTTCAGAATGTTAAGTTCTTGGGAACGAATGAGAGTAGAGGATGATGAAATGAGTTTGGATTTGAACACGATGGGAACGCAGGGAGGGGAAAGTGAGTGGAGTGCACAGGGGCTGTGAATGCACAGTGCCCTCATCAATGGCTCTCCACTCTTACCACCCTGTGCAGCCACGATCAGAAGTTCTAGTTAAGCCAACAAAGTTTTTAAACTTTGAAATATTTTATGTTTTTTGGCGTCCCACAAACGTGTGCCCATCATGAATGAGTGCCCCCATTTTGCTGCCAATCTTGAAGCTTCTCAGGGAGCCAATCCGCCACTGGGAATGTGGCTGGCACTTTGGGAGGAACAAGAAAATTTGGGGAGAAAATACAACACCTAAACTGAGCTCATTGGTTGCATACTCATTTACAATTGGATCTCTGTTTTTTTCATTGAAAATATCAATGTCCACATTCATGTCATAGCCCATATCAATCAATAATAATCTTTGCATTTGGTGTAGTGCCTTTCACATTTCACACAGTGAAATGTAGTGACTGTGTGTTTGGAGGTGAAGCAAGCTGCAATTCAGGGGGCATCTCTGGCTGGTGAGCTCTGTGTGAGTTCAACCAAGCTTGGACACCAAGGAATCACGCAAGGGAGAATCGTTCTAGCATTGTATAGAAGCAGGAGGAGGCCATTCAGCCCCTCGATCCTGTTCCGCCATTCTATAAGATCATGGCTGATCTGCACCTCAACTCCAATTACCTGCCCTTGCCCTGTATCCCTTGATACCCTGGCCTAACAAGTAGATATCCACCTCAGTCTTGAAAATGTGAATGGATCCAGGATCCACAGCCTTTTGGGGGAGAGAGTTCCAAATTTCCACTACCCTTTGGGTGAAAAACTGCCTCCTAATTTCATTCTTAAATGGCCTCGCTCTAATTGGCCCAAGAGCATGCAAAGTTTCATCGAACTTTTACACTCTCAGGTGGGTGTCCTCATACAGGATCCAGTATCAGCCAGAGGCCATTCTCACCCACGTCAATCTCCAGCACAATAGTGCTGGACAGTAACCCAAACTGTCCAAAAACATTTACTGTCACCAGAGGATTTATTACATTGTGCCCACAGGCTTCTAACCACAGAAATTAATGTGCGTTTGCATTAGTAAAACACGAGAAATACAGCTATAGCTTTTTATAAGAATTCCATGCATCAATGTTCTGGGTGTGCTTGAATTGTGTTGGAAAATCTTTATAATTGTGAGGTTGTTTCTTCTTCTTCCAGCAATATGGAATTGGAATCAATGCTCTTGACCACATTGTTTCCAAGTGCTGGGTGGAGGCAGCCCCTGCTTCAACCTATCATTCCCTCAGAAGGCTGCCTATCCTAACTGGTGATGTTGAAGGGTGGCTTCTGTCCCTGTTCATTTTGTAAAGTGGGGCTGCTTAGAGCCATAGGTGACGGCATAGGGGTATTTGAGGGAAGGAAGCAATTGACATCTGCGGATTCAGAATCTTGATTAGGCAGGAAATGGTGGAGTATATTCCAAATCTGTCAAAATCATCCCAAGTCCAACCTATACCCAACAACAAGAAGTTGCATTTATATAGTGCCTTTCACGTCGGGAGGACATCCCAAGGCACTGGACAATGAAGGGTTAGTAACACCTGAGCTGCGGGTTAGGATTCATAGAGGGGTGAAGGGTAAGGGGCGTGGAGGAAGGAAGATTACTGAAGGCACAGTCGAAAAGTAAGGTCTTGAATTGGGCCTTGAAGGAGGCAAGGGAGGGGGCGAGGCAGAGGGCTTTTGGTCTACGTGATTTCATCATTCCAGGTCACCCATCCACTATCTACCCACTACAGCATCAAGCTATCTCCTAAATGAGTCCAGTGTCCTGGCCAAAACCCCCCTGCCTGGCAACCTGCCTGTCATTAATTGTCCTCTAGATAATGAAAATCTTCCTGTCTTGAAGAACGTGTCACCCTCTAAGGTTCAACAGCTTTTTCTCTTAACTTCCAGTAGACCTTTTCCATTACCTTTCCTGGTATTTGAAATCTCATCCCACTGTGAATATAAGGATAAGCAGAGGAAATATCAGAAAGCAAAGCTCTCCAGAAATATTTTGCTATCTTACCTGATATCCATGATAGCTCGCGTGGCTTTGCTTCTGATAGAAACAGATCTGTGATCTAGCTTTTCTTTCAACACCACCACAGCGTCAGCCCCCAGAGCCTCCTCTGTGTTAATGAGCAAACAGAAGTGCAGCGTCTGTAAGATCAGCTCCTGTATCTCGTCAAGCTCAGTGCGTAGCTTCTCAATCAGTGGGGGGATCAGGCCAGCGTCCACTATGCCGGCAGCACCTGCAGGAGTAGGATGGTAGAATTCCTGACAGAGGTACCAAACAGCATATCACACATTACAGAATTCAGGTCCAGGGTTTCCCCATGCTTCAATAGCTGCAATTTGAAGATCTAACTGAGAGGATCTGACTGACACTTCATTTCCAACTTATCAGGAATCTTTTTATTTGATTAATTCCTCTATTGTTTATTCTCCGGGTTAGACCACGCTCTCCCAGTAGTAATTGACCATGCCATTCAACTAATGTTAGTTGTGGAGTCAACTGTGGAGTCCTGTAGCTCAGTGGTTAGAGCACTCGCTTTGCAAGCGAGAGACCTGAGTTCAATCCCAGGCAGACCGATACCTTGGACAAGTTTCCTTACTCCACACAGAGCCTAATAATAATCCCTCCAAAAAAACAAAACAATAATAAATTGGTCATTTTCAATCTACGACTGTTTGTGGGACATTGCTGTGCGCAATTGGCTGCTGCGTTCGCCCACAAATATACAGTCAATTCACTTTACAGTGTGTTCTGTGAAGCGCTTTGGGACGTCCTCCCGACGTGAAAAGCGCTATATCAAATGCAAGGATTATTATTATTATTATTAGTTGACTGGAAATACCTAGGTCATGCATTTGATTTATTTCTGTTTGTTCCTCCCTTACTCACTGTGTGAAAATCTCTCAGGTATCTCACTTGTCCCACCAATGTGCCAGCCTTAAGATAGAAGGATATGGGTTCAAGCTCCACAATTGGTACATAAACTCATATACTCCAACTAACGTTCCAGAGCAGTACTAGGGGTCTGTTGCATTGTTGGAGATGTGTCCTTCAGATGAGACCAAGGTCTGGTCTGCTTTCAGGCAGATGTTAAAGATCCCATGGCCCTATTCTAAAGAGAAAGGAGCTTCTCCTAGTATCTTGGCCAGAATCCCCCAAATATAATTGTTCACGCACTTCACGGCTGTTTGTGGGATATTGCTGTGTGCACTTTGCCATGAAGCGTTTTGAACATCCTCCTGATGTGAAAGGCGCTACATTAAATGTAAGGATTATTATTACCAAGGTGTTTAAGATTATGAAAGAATTCAATAAAGCTATTTCCACCTGTTGATGAATCCAAAACTAGAGGGTATAAACATGATGTCGAGTAGTGAATCTAATAAGAAGTTTGGGAGGAGTTTGTTCATACAGAAGGTGGTGAGAATGTGGAACTCATTTCTATAAGCTGTGGTTGAATTAAAAAGCATCACTGTACTTTAGAAGAAACTCATTGCAAACTTAAGGGAGAAGGGAATAGAGGGGAAGTGGAGGGGGCCAATGTGGAGTATGAAGTGGTAGATGAGCACGGACTAGTTGGATCAAATGGCATGTTTCCATATCACTCCATTTATGTTATTAATGGCATATTTAAGAGAAAATAAGGGTTCAAGATTATCAATAATTGTGAGATAGAGCTCCAGAAGGATGGCTAGCCATACCCAGGTAGAAGTAGATATATGAGTGACACAAGACCATACGTTTGGTTTGGATGAAGAAGGTCCTTCAGACCATCCAATCTCACGTCTGAGATTTAAGCTGCAGTTGGAGATTTGAAATGTTTAGGACACAGTTTCTGCAAAAGGAACTCGTGTTAATGAATGGAAGACATAATCAACACTTTTCCAGGAAAGGCATGTGTTGGAAGATTCGAAAGATTGTTCTCAATATAATTTGCAATCTGGACAAAAATATTGGTTAATATGATGATAATAATAATAATCATTGCATTAGTTATAGCACTTTTAATATCAGGAAGACGTCTCAAAGTGCTTCACAGGAAATACTGTAAAATGTAGTAACTGTGTTTGTAGATAATCTATTTGTAAACAGTAATGTCTCATAAACAGCTATGAAGTGAATGATTCATTTTAATGGGGGGATTGTTGGCCAGGACACCAAGAAGAACTCTCTTCTCTTTATCGTCCACCTGAACGAACTGGACCCCGGTTTAATGTCTCAATCCAAGGACGGAACCTCCAACCTACAACATCCCCCAACTGCACTAGAGAGTCAGCCTAGACTAAGTGACAACAAAGCGCAAAACTGAGGCTTGAACACCCACAACCTTCAGACTCAGAGATGAGGATATTACCGGCTGAACCATTTCTGAGATTATTATATATTTAGAGCTTGAGATCCAGCAACACGGGTCTGAGACCTGTAGCCTGATAGGAGATTATTTATCATCTGCTTCAGTCATGTTGGGAAATGTCTTCTATGACAGCCCAATGTTGTTGTTGTTGTTGTTGTTGTTGTGGTACTATGACAACAAGAACAACAACTTGCATTTATTTAGCGGCCTTCACCAGGATAGGGTCTCGGAGTGCTGCAAAATCCAAATCCTAGTGGAATGCCTTTCATTGCAGGGCTGTGATGGGCTGACTAATTCGTTTGGTAATGCGTATCCAGGAAGCAGCAATGATATGTAAGTTTAATTTTGCATGATGTTGCAGCGATGAACAGAAGAGTGCCGAGGGCACTTAGTTTTGCTTCATTATCACTTCCATAGCTGAGTATAGTTAACTGTCTTAATTGCAATTTTTAGTGTTATTCCACAAGTGAGCTTTTAAATTTCATGCATTGCCAACACACTTTCATAATACTTTGGGTTTATCTCCAGCTCAATTCCGTTACTTATTACATTAAATCTTTTGCATATTGTGCCTGTAATAAAACTCCATGCATGAGTTGCAGCTTCTTCAATTCTAATTGTTATGATGCTCTTTAAATGTGAAAAATCATAATGGAATAAAAATGTTTGCTGTATCTGTATAGAACAGTCGCCTCGCAAGCGAGGGGACCCGGGTTCGATTCCCGGGCAGAGCGAAACGTTAGGTAAATTTCCTTACTCCACACGCCTGTTTACCCAGCAGTAAGTAGGAACCCGATTGTTAGTCGATTGGCGGATCACTTTCTGGGGTTAATAATCCCTTCAAAATTAATAAAATAAAAAAAAACACAATTTGGTCACTCAATCCACGACTGCTTGTGGGGCACTGTTGTGTGCAATTGTCTGCCACGTTTCAACACCAACAACAAAATGGCATTTATAGAGCACCTTTCACATTGGGAGGACGTCCCAAAGCGCTGAACAGTCAGGCGTCGGGGGCCGAGCATGGGGGAGGGGTGGGGTAGGGGTGAGGGAAGGCAGAGAGGTGGGAGGGAGACTACAAAATACACAGTCAATTCACTTTGCAGCATATTCTGTGAAGCGCTTTGAGACGTCTCGAAGATGTGCCAAGGCGCTCTATCAAAGGCAAGGATTATTATTATTCATCATCAGTAGGCTCCATAGCTGAGGAAATGCCTGCCAACCACTGTCAAGGATTGCAGACGGAGAATTGGAGGAAAAAAAATTGAGACCTAATGAGGAAATATTGGTGTCAGCAGAAGAAAATGCACCTCGTGCCTTGTTAAAACACACACTTTGATGTTTAATGTTTTCCCATTACAATTAAGATCAAAATTCCAATTTAAGTTGTACTCATGAGATCTAACACAGGGTTTTGCTTGCCGCAGATGAAGAGGAAATATGTTTCTCAAAATAATAATCCCAAAAATAGTTCGGATAAAGGGGTTGTGTCTCCAATTAAAAGTATTTGACAAACCTTCTCAGCTGCATTTGCACATGTTAATGAGGTGATTGATGTGGATGATTTTTCTGTTTCCACAGTAAAATTATTCCTTATAAACTGATTCAAATTAAATCACCTTTGAAAAGTTCTGCTCTGAAATATTAGCCCAGAAGCTGGTATTTGCCATTTGCAACACTATAAACTGGAGTCTTCTTTTTGAAAAAGAATATTTTCCTGGTGAATTTTGGCTCACCAAGCCAATGTTGGGAATTTTAGTTGCCTATTAAGCTTTCCCAGATCAGAACTGCATTAAGCTTTCCCAGATCAGTTACAGTTGTTAGATGGAGAGTTAAGCTTCCTCCACTGAAGCCCAGAAGCTCACTGTCTCCCAAATCACAATGGTGAACCCACATCCTCTCCTACACAGGGGGCAAGTGGCCCAAACTCCAGCCAAGGAGGGCTGGATCTGAAACTCGAGGGCTAAAATTCCGCGAGCCAAACATTGAAAGACTTAATGTCAGTTTACAGGATTATTTGCACCGGTTTAATAACGCTCGAATACACAGGAGAGGAAAACATCTTCCTTAAAAGCTACCAGCAAGTGGATTTGTTTTTTGGTCGGCCAGGTGTCTGACACATCACCAAGCTTAAGAGTATCCAAGCCAAATTGAGAATTCCATGCATCCCACCTACACATGGAAATTCCAAAGATAAGATTGTTGGAATGGAATGCGCTCTCTCTCCCTGAAGGGCTTATTTCACTTCATAAAGTACTAGGTGCAGGTTGGCAGGAGCCAAGGCTTGGGGGGACCCCAGAGTGTGCGTTGGGGTAACTGCTGGAGTCTAACCAGCTAAAACTGCACTTTTGGCAAGCTTTCCCACTGCTTGTCCAGCAAGCACCACCCAACCCGTTAGTGTTTTGGCTTCCAAGGTTAACAGGAACAGATTGGGCGGATTCCCTGCCCCCAGTGACTGGTCTGCCATTTCAAGTCCTGCTGACTTTACTGCTAGGTAAACAGAGGCGTGTGGGTAAGGAAACTTGCCCAACATTTCACCCTGCCAGGAATCAAACCCAGCTCTCTTGCTTGCGAGGCGAGAGTTATAATCACAGGACTCCTCTTTTACAATTTAATATCTGCTCAAAGAATTCTATTCACAGTTAAGGTGTGCTTTTCTGAACGGAAACTGCAAGGTTCGCTTGAACTTAGAGAATTTCAACTGTCCATTACACTTCAATGCCATTGCCGGTCCCATCACTGTTTTCTGCAGGCCATCGCACTTTCCTAAACTGACTGCTGAAGCGAAAGATTCACTTACATTCATTTAGTTTTTGACACAATCGAATATAGAGTTTCCCAAATTGAAATGAAAGCAATCACTTTTGATTTCCACGCTACTT